TGAGCACATGCAAAGATTTCCTCTTTCCTGCAGGGCACGGACGGCATCTGGCTTCTCTTTAGAGACACTCTACCCATTACAGTGCTCAGTAAGTACACGTTTCTAAAAACTGAACTACATGGAATGTTTAGCTCTAACAATGGGAAATGGGGCAAAATGAATTTCTAGTACAGTAAATATTCATGTACCAGCAACTGGGTTTACAAATAACATGAGCTCAATTTCTACTGGACTAGGTTCTCAAAAAGACAACTACAGAGATGAGAAAGGCAGTTAAGGATGGGCGCCTTTTCACCTCCTTCCTCCACAGGCTAATTACAACTTTGGGGGCATTTCTTCTCTCTACCGACTCAGAGCAGATCAAATTGTCTTCTCACTAATATTAGCTGCATCTGAGACAGGTCACTGAGTAAGTGCTCCCTGTCTAGGATCCAATGCTGGCTAAATTTGTCTGAGCAACAGCAGATAGAGAGAGCCACACACGAAGTCCAGCCAGGATTCAAGGGACAATCATCCGGGTGTCAGATACGGAAAGTCTTTGGTTCAAACAACACAAACATGTGTTCAGCACAAAAGATAAATGTCACTGTCACCTGAGTAATCATCTCATAATTTTGAAGAAAACTGCAGTCTGTATAAAAATCAAACAAAAGTCTGTTTTGGAACACCCATGATTTTGTATTACTCATAACATGGTTCCCCTCCTGGTAATTAAGATTCAACTCTATCTGGTCTCTCATTTTTTCAGGCATTACCTTAGCGTAACTCATCAATCCTAAGAGCACCTTAAGTCCTTAAAGCAGAACCCAAGGGGCCTGGTTCCGTCATCCTCTCAGAATCTCAGTGAGGGGACACGTACTGAGGTTTACACAAATGTACTCAGACCCAAGACTTCATGTGGTTTAGGCCCAATAGTGTCTTGAGAGAGAAGTGCACAGCCAAGCAGAATCTGATACACTCAGCAAAGGTTCTTTACTCTATTTACTCCTAATTATTGAGGGAGACAAAAAGTTACAGAGAATGATAATAAACTTCAGGATATCTGTACAACCATGATACTAAAATATTTGACTTGCGGTTATTCTCCTGGGTATCATGAGGTTAACATGTAATACCCACTCAACTAAACCTCTATAAACAGTGGTTTTCCACAATCATAACCACTATGCCCACTTCAATGGGCAGTAGTATTCGGAGAACAGCCAGATGGAGTGCCTGTGTAATAAACACCAGACCAAAAGAGCTAGGAAAGCTGTTTATGCCCATACCCACCAGGAACCTTTGTCTGCACAACTCACTGAAGAACTGGTAAGAATGGAAGTCTCCTCAACAAAGCTTCAAGACAAAATACATCCCTTAAAGTAGGCACTGCCCTCCACCCCTTCCCAGTTTTTCAACTAAAATAATTTTCGGCAAGTGAGACTAATAAAAAACAGGTACTTTGTTTTTACACAGATTCAATTTGTTTATAAGCAGAAAATAATTATGTACATGGCATTTAGCTACTCTGTGTAGTATTGGGGTAGATGGGAAGACCAATCATTCTCAAGTGTTTTTAGGCACTCTATCGATAGTATCTCATTTAAATTCTCAAAACTATTCTTTTTTAAAAAAAAATTTAAATATTTTTTTAATATATTTTATTGATTTTTTTACAGAGAGGAAGGGAGAGGGAAAGAGAGTTAGAAACATCGATGAGAGAGAAACACCGACCAGCTGCCTCCTGCACACTCCCCACTGGGGATGTGCCCGCAACCAAGGTACATGCCCTTGACCAGAATCGAACCTGGGACCCTTGAGTCTGCAGGCCAACGCTCTATCCACTGAGCCAAACCGGTCAGAACTTAAAATATTTTTTAAATGATTTCAGAGAGAAAGGAAGAGGGAGAGAGAGAGAAACATCAATGATGAGAGAGAATCAGTGATTGTTTGCCTCCTGCAACACCCATACTGTGGATCGAGCTTACAACCTGGGCATGTGCCCTTGACCGGAATCAAACCCGGGACCCTTCAGTCCACAGACGCTCTATCCACTAAGCCAAACTGGCTAGGGCTCACAACTATTCTTAAGAGTAGAAGAATCAGCCCATTTTACAGACACACACATTAAAGGACAGAGAGACTGAATAATCTGTGTAAGGCCCCAGAGCAGGTTAGTGGCAAAGGAGGCGAGAGCCATCATTTGCTCTCAGGCACAGTGATAGCCCAAAGTGTATGGACGTTTTATAAAGATTGTATGGAGCACCTATAAAATTCTCATGCAAAGAAACACCATTTTAGAAAAAATAACTTCCCAGTCCTTGTCAGGATTTGCCCTGAACTTCCCAATACAGCTCAAAGCAGACTGCACAGTCAAAAGAGATCATCACGTACTACAGTTACTGGTGAAACCCAGAATAGAGCACAGGTCTGCTGACCCAGGTCCAGGCCCAATCAAGCATGCTCTTTGGATGCTGACACCCTTCTGAAGTTTCAAGTCAGTTGAGAATAGCAAAGAAATGAGTTAATAATTTTGGTAAAGTAGCTAAGGATTTGCTATAAAAGAGGCATAACCATATGAAGATTTCTACTGAGGAAGTTTTCAACCAAAAACACTGGTGTCTGCATATTTCATCTTCCACAGCAAAAATGAAAAAGAACCTTTGCCCTCCCCTCCCCATGAGTTGTGAATGATTAGCTTGCCTATGCTGATAACTAAGGAAACTATGAGTGCCTCTCCCAGCTGATTAGAATACTTACAGATTTACTCTACTAACAAACTCCTCCAATTCTATGCAAAGACAACTGGACACCAGGAACAGTTAGCCAACGTCAGCCATAATAAATCTTCCGGTGAAGCAAGCAACTCTCCCATTAGCTCTGATGGCCTTGCCCTGAAGAGGCTAAAACAGGAAGACTTCTGGGTGCCAGAGAAGTAGAGAGAGGAGCCACATGACCAGGAAATTGAGATGACAGAGAAGTGATGGGGAAGGGTCCCAGGAAAGATGTGCTAGAGAAACACAGGCAACCAGCTTGAAGAGTTGGTGTAGTGAGAAAACACTACTTATTGAGTTTGACATCATCAGTAAGAATAAGGAACAGACGGCTGGCGTGGCTCAGTGGTTGAGCATTGACCTATAAACCAGGAGGTTACAATTCGATTACCAGTCAGGGCACATAACCACGTTGCAGGCTCGATCTCCAGTATGGGGAGTACAGGAGGTAGCCAATCATGATTCTCTTTCATTGATGTTTCTATCTCTCTCTCCCTCTCCCTTCCTCTCTGAAATCAATAAAAATATATTTTAAAAAGAAGGAGGAGGAGGAGGAGGAGCCAAGAGCAAGAAGAAAAACAGAATCAAAGATTTAGGTTTAATCTAGGTTACCAAGGCATCCTACTCAAGAGTTAAAACTAGATAAAATTAGCATTTCCAAATGCTAGACAGATTTTAAATTTAGTGCTTAATCTTGCTATTATAAATTTATTTTTTAAAACAGAAGGATAAAGTAATTGTCGAGCCATATCTTGTATCACATTCTTCATGGTTTGCAAGTTTTAGCAGCACGCAGGGATAGATAAGACTTGAGCTGGGAGGTTATGATCTAGCCCATCACATCAAGTCAAAGCTACTCAATGATCTTTCTCAATTTCACCCCAACTTGGCCAAATCAAAATTCCTACACTCAGGTAAAGGCATTTTAGTTTTTAAAAATAGTTATCAAACTTCAAATAACTGAAATCCTCAGAAAACTTTCTTTCACTGTTCTACATTAAATACCTCTTTCCAATTTGTTCTGGAAAGATAAAAAAATAAGTTGGCTTTATGGATTATTACATATTTAATTTTTATGTCTGTGAACATTTTTCTCTATTTTTACCATTCTCATGACCCATCTCTCAGCATTTTTAGCTGTATAATAAATATTAAAAGTTTAATCTAGTTATGACTGATGATGCAAACCACCGATTTATAGGAGGTTGTACTTGAAATCTCAGAACCCGCTTCCCCTATTATGTTATCGCTGCTCTTAAGGTACTGTCCAGAAAGTGTCCAGAAACGTTCATTAAAAACAAAAAGGAAAATAATCAAAAGAAGAAATCAATACACAAAACCCAATTAGAAAACCAAAAAACCAAACCAAACATAGCAACCTACGTACTTTTACAATGAATATTCTTCGTCCATCTCCCCTTCCACTCCTGGAGAAAATGTCTAAATATTCACCCCATCCCCGAGTCTAAAAGTGCACTTCAGCCACGACACTGGACATCAGGGCACATGTCCAAGTTCTACTGCACCCCCAGCCTCCCCTATTCCTTGACCTAGCCAGAGTACCTGTAGGAAATTACAGATAAATGAAACAGAATCCCTTGCTAATATTTTCTTCGTATAACTTCACTCTGAAATGTTCTCAGCAAACCCTCCTACCCACGTTTAGTAAGAGTACTCATCAGATCTGACTCTCAGCTTTGTGAAATATCACAGGAATTTTTAAAAGCCTCATTTAGCAATTTATAAAATTCTTATGCATCTCTCAAATGAAAAGTGCAAACTTTTAGGGCTAGAAAATTAGAGTTAAAACTACTCTTCAAAACATAGCAACCTTAAATACAGAAAAAGTCTCACTAGAATTCAAAGTATATGAGCTACAAACCAATCAACGAAATCCAAACTAGTGATAAATGATATTTCCTATTTCAGCCGCTGTATTTAAAATTACACGTTAACTCCCCAACACCCTGGCCCTTCCCTCCTCCCTTAACCCTGTGCCCAGGACCTTTCTGTTCTTACAGCAGGAGTCACTTTCTTCGGGAGATAGGCACACGCCGTCACTTTAATCTAGAATCATGATCTAAAACTAACCGCCAAGGAAGGAAGAAGAATAGGATGCTAGAGGCCAGCCTGAGTCTGAGCACAGCGCAGGGTTAAAGGAAACCATTTCATAAGATCAAGTGTGGAGGAGAAGCAGCAGGAGCGAAGAGGAAAAAATCAAGTTACATAAAGTCCAATTGTACTCACTGTTTCCTTATTGGGAAGCAGCTCCTTTCTGATTCTGAAGAAGTTCTTGCCGTACTGCCTGAGCCCCTTAACGAAGCGTTTCTGTGATAGAAAGAAACAACAAATGGGATGTAAAAACCGAAAACAAAACAGGATGTCAGCAAAGCAAAGATCTCGGCAATCAGCAGCATAACAAAAAGTCTTGGCCAGGGAATACTGACTGGCTACGGGTGTGTTTCAGCAGCAGACCTGGCCCCCCACCAGGACAGGCCCGTCCCAGCCTCCATCGGAACCCCCAGCCCGCATCCCACACAGGTTTAGGGAAAGAACGTGGTGCCTGCGGCGCGGAAGCAATCTGTGCCCTGTGCCCGCAGTCTGCACCCTGGTCCACGAAGATATAAACAACAAATGTGTTCCGCGTTTCAATAAAGCAGCACAACTGCTCTCCACCTGAGAACGAGGCTTCCCAGAGTGTCGAGCAGAAGGGAGGAAACAGAACCAAACCTGGAGAATTTTCTCTAGGACACGCCGGAGGGTGAAAAGCCCTTTCCTTAATCTGAGGAATTCTCTAGGAAGGGGCCGATATCAGAAGCCCACCGGGGCCTGAACATCAGCTGGCCTGCCCCGCCACCTCCGCCACGAAAAGCAGCTCCAGGGCATCAAATAAGCCCCACCAGCACCCCTTCCTTCTTCCCGAGCCCCTCACCCCCCCGCCGCCCATTTCCTTAGCAGTCCCGAGACTTTCACTTTGTCCCATTCCTCCCAGGCAGCCCCTCCCTGCCCAGTAGGGGCAGCTCCCGGCTCCCCCGGCCCCCACCTCGGGGGGGGGCTGGG